AAGTGTATTTAAAGCAGGTCTGGCTGCCCCTGCAGTCAACTACAACACACGCCCGTGTAAAACTCATTGATCTACTTAAACTCTAAATCAGGATGTCATACAGCTGTTAATAACAAAGTGTATGATGATCTACGTCATGATTCTATGTTGCTGATTAAATAAAATCATGTGGTAATGACTGCGTATACATGTCTGAGCTTAGCGCATGACTATCTGACACTGTATGCTGATATCACAGAACACCGCCACTGTCGCACCTTTCACAATTCACAATGGTTCAAACATTTAGGCTGTTGCCTAATAAGGTGTTTTTGTAAATGACTCCACACTAACATCATCATCATAGAGACCAGCTACAGTCACACACAGTGTGTAAAAGTGGAAGTCCTGTGTGTGTGCAGCAGGCTTTCTTCTTCTAACGTTCTGCTGTCGTCTCGTCCTCCAGCTGCTCTCTCGGAGCCAGAGATCTGCTACGTTCTGGATGGGATTCTTTTCCTGTACGGCATCATCCTGACCGCGCTCTACTGCAGGGTCAAGGTTCGCACCCACACAAATCTTTCTTTCTTATGAATGTTAAACAAACCGTAGAGTAACAAAACGCTACCAAGTTAAGTATGGAAGAAAAATACCATCTATACATAGATATATTTTTAATGTCTGTGTCAGTAACATAAAATTCAGGGAAGGGAACCACTAACTAAAGTTAACAGTAATCATAAACATTAGCGCTGCTAATGCTAAGGCACTAGGCCAACATGGTATTTAGCAGACGATAACGCTATAGTGCTTTACCAACATATGACGCAGAAGCTAATGCTAATGTGCTGCACCAACACAGTATTTAGCAGAAGCTAATACTAAACTTAAATTCAAACTGTATTTAGCCTTTAAGGACTACAACCCAAAAATTTAATTTCGACACATGTTCTATGATACTCTTAGACATTGTGTTTATCTTATTTATTTATTTTTATTTTTATTTTTTTTTACAAAGGTTGTTCCTTTATGTTTGAATAAAATAAAAAAAAGCAAAAGTTAGCAAGAAAAATTAGCTCACATTAGCATAAAAGTGCCCGCCATTGAAGAAATGTAACACCTGAAGGAGAATATTAATAAGCAAAGTGAAGGTCAGAAAACACATTTTCTAGACGGGTTTAAAGCAATATGTCTAGATGGAGGGCAGTCCAGAAGATTTATTAAAATAAATCCATAAAAAAAGAGTTCTGTTTACAGTTTGACACAGAAGTGGAACTTTTCTGCCTCAATGGAATGTTCCCTGCATGGCTGAAAATCTACATTACCTGAACAAACCATTCCCAAGGTGGTGGCAGCATCATTCTGTGGACATTTTTTTTATACATATACATACATTTAAACTGAGTATAAAACAAAATTTGCCTCATTTTTATTTGTGAAAAATATTTTTTTGTCACTCCATAATTGGGCTGTACGTTGTGTTTTGTCTAACATAAAATCTCAATAAGGGCTTAGAGTTGGAACCAGGTAGCACAGGGCGCTGGTCTTGGTCTTGACTCGGTCTCGACTTCCCTCGGTCTTGGTCTTGACTCGGTCTCGACTTCCCTCGGTCTTGGTCTTGACTTGGTATCGGACCCGAAAAGTCTTGGTCTTGTCACGGTCTCGATACACTCTGGTCTTGTTCTTGGGTTAGGTGGACTTGACTACAACACTGGTTGGAACTATACGCTTTTGCACGTCAGTGTAGATTATTTTTATCTTGATAACATGTATTTACTGCAAATGAATCTACCTGCTGCTTCAGAGGTTTATGTTTTTCTCTGTATATTGTTGACAGATCTACAACGCCAGAGAGGCCAGCGGCGGAAAAGGAAAGTCAAAGCAGGTGAGAGCGACTGCTCTACTAAAACGGGAGCCGCTGTGTGAACCGTGTGCGTGGAACGCATAGCGCTGCAGCACAAAGTGGCGTTTCAGTCAACAAAAAAGAAGCTGAGTTTCTGTTGAGGCTAACCTCAGTGGACACATGCTGAGGCTGAGGTTTTGGATGTGAAGAAGGAAATGAGCACACAGCATGCCTACATACATCAACCGTGCGTGTGCGTGTGTTAGGCAGTGTGAACGAGTTTGTTTCGTGGTGAGTTGCGCTAATACTGAGTATCCTCTCTGCAGTGGCTGTGACCACTGAGCAGCCGGCTGGTTAGAGGAGAATAAAGTCAACATCCTGTCCACCTTTCAGCTCAGCCCACTAAGAACAAGAGCTGCATGTTATTTTAGGACAGAGCTCTGCCTCTGTTTGGTTTTACTTTAAAAACTTGAATTGTTGGTTTGAGCCACTGTTCCAGTTCCCGTTTTTTTGTGTCACAATGACTATTTTGTCTCTAATCTCTTTTTCGTCTTTTTTCCTGTCAGAATGTGGAAGAGGGCATCTACACGGTGAGTTTCAGAGAACCGCGCCGCGTTAAGCTGAAGCTTCACATTATTCATATGTATATAAATATATTTCCTCCTCTCTCCCCTCCTTCAGGGTCTGACTCCTCACAAGCAGGACACATACGAAACCATCGGCATGAAGAAGTGATCTCAGCCGGCCACAGCGTTCTGTCTTGTTTTTTTTTTTTCTTTTGTATTTAAACATAACACATCTCACACTCTGTTTTTTTATGCCAACGCTCGTTTCCCCATTTTGCTTTTGTTGAATCGAGCAGAAGTTGAGGAGGAAGAGATAGAAAAGAAGAAGTGATGCGGCTTGCTGTTTGAGATACTCTTCCTGTCCTCTTGGACATATTTAACATTTTATTTTGACTACTGATATCCTGAAGATGCATTTAAACGCTTAAGTGTGAAAAAAAAAAATAGGATTGTAATGAGAGGTTTTATATTTTGCGTAGGTTTCAGGACCAAAACACGCTGATGGAAATTTCACTCTTTACCATTTTTGTAAATTTGACAAATTGCATATGCTTTCCTTCTATTTGTACTATTATTGTTTTATTTTTGTATGCCATAATTTCGGGGTAAGAGAATTATAAGGGGGGAATGTAATTATACTGAGCAGTATTTCCATTACACCTCAGGGTGGCAGTGATGGCATCTCCTTCACCTTTCTGAAGCTGATACATGTACGCACGAGACTTTGTTTTGCACGCATATTCATATTAAAGAACTTATCGTTTAGAAATACGGGATCTCCGTCTCTTTATTTAACTCTCAATCAGAAGTTTTTTAATCTTTAAATCTTTCTTTACCGCAAATTTCTGAAAACAATCATTTCCTGCCAGGGGATTTTCATATAAATAAGATTAAATGTGGACACAGCTTTAGCTTTGGTCAGATATATAGATATGATGTTAAAATATTTGGAGTTCTAAGTTGGAGATGTCAACTGGAACGCCTTAAATTCAATGTTTAAACTAAGATGTCATAGAAACCCAGATTTAAAACCCAAGGAAAAGGAAGTGTTATTTGCAGCCTTATTTTTTTTTAAAATATAGATTCTCTTTCAGTGAGATTTCTGAAGTGCTCAGCTTGTCTTGAACTTTATCGAGGAAGTGTCAGCTTCATCCTAAACCATTCCACTCAGCTTATACCCAAACCTGAAAAACACCTGGCGACTGCTTTCAAAATTAAAGCCCATTTTAAAATCAAAGCTGAAAATTAGGATCTGAGTACAGATTTGAGGAGTTGACTTTGTATTTAATTAACACAACTATGTTTTACCAGCATTTGTAGTTTTTAATAGTTTATTCATATAAAATATATACATTAAATTTACAGTTTGAGAATTAAACTTAGTCATGATCATTATAATTATTATAATTATTCCCTTACATTTTACAAGTGTTTGGATCTACAAATAGACTCTCATTGACATTTCTTGTACAGAAAGAGGTTTCTGATTTACCCCATCCTTAAAAATCAGTACGTTACACATAGAATACAGCGTAAGCTGTCAAAAATAACTCATTTGCAAATCTTTTTGTGATATTTACTCTCATTCCAAGTTCGGACATCTAAGGTACATCACCCAATGATTTTTATTTTTCAGTGTCATATAAGTAGACGTTAACAACGCCTTCAGTTTTAATCGACAGCCTTTATGTGGAACAACTGTGTCAATGACGTAACAAAAAATAGCACATTTTTTAAAATTATGTTGTACAGATGGACTCTCTTAAAATAATTTCTGTCGTTCATTGGTGACTACATGCAGAAGTAGAGATGATTCTCTTATAATCGTATTATGTGCTGTTGCATTGCTGTACTTGGTTCTCTTGACTGTTAGAGAAACCAGCCTGCAGGGCGTTGAACACTTTTAAACATTTACATCAGAGGACTTGTGCTTGTTGATTTGAAATATGTATATACATAATGTTCAAACTGTGCCTAAAAAACAAATCTCACACTAGTAAAGCAGATGACGGTTAGTAAGTTGTTACTGGAGCATCAGCCCCCAAAAGTAAAATGTGTAACGAAAAGGAACTGGCCCAAGCACCAATCCCTGAGGAACTCCACATACAGATCATAATATTCAGATTTAATCAACTTTAGGTGATATCTAACCTAATAAGGAAAGTCAGAATTTTATGACACTAAACATTAAACATTATTACTGTTTACTAACAGTAATAATGTTAGAGTTATTACTGTAACATTAGAGTTACAGTAATAACTGTAACTGTTATTACTGTTAACTGTTAACTTCAGACGTTGGTGAAGAGCAACGTCTGAGTTGCTCTTCACCACAGTGACATAAATAGACGTCAGCTGAGTTTGTGGTTATGTCAAAGTAAATGTACCAGAGAATATTGCCCTACTTATTCAGAAAGTGAACAGGGAGATTACATTCTTTCAGCTTTCAACCATTACCGTGAGAATAAAAACACTTAATGTGGGGAGATTAGTTTGTGTCTTTCTTCTCGGTTACAGGCCATTGTGGCCTTTACATTTAGGATTATACCTCTTCAACTTAAAGGGGTCATTGGTTTCCTCCAGAGGGAGGAGGCCCCTCCAGTTTCGGTCTCAGCCTGGCTGTTATGATCTGCGCTCTGTGTCATTGGGATGAGGTTCAAACAGGTTTTCTCGGGCATGCTTATTCACCTGCCTCTCCTCTGAGCCGAGCAAGTAAAGACGAAAAAATAACTGTCATGATGCCTTCACTAAACCAGAAAAGTGAGTTTTTCAGTGTGTGTGTGTGTGTGTGTGTGTGAGAGAGAGAAGCAGAGAGAGGGAGGGAGTGAGAGGCAGAGCGCAAACAGGTGTATCCTGAACAGGCAAAGGCTGCACCTTCTTTCACCACACGTCCGACCTGATGGCTTAACTTCACTCCTGGACAGAATCCCTACCACACTCTACCCCGAGGACCACAGCTCTTTGGACAGGACCAGGGTCTTCCCAGAGTAGATTGTTCTTGAGGATGATCACTCACCAGGAGGCATGACGGCTGCCCACTAATTTTGGATCCTACTCGTGGACCGATGAGCTTCATAGCCGTGCTGACGGCGTCCCGGCTTGTGCACAGTTAGCAGTAACGCCAAAGGAGGATGACATCTCTGCTCTACAGATTCTCATTGGGTCTCCTTGGGCTCCAGATCTTTGGTAAGATGGATTTTTTTTTACAACACATGGATGTGACTGAATGACATGATGATAAACTAAGCCTGGATGGTATGAAAGTGCTTTGAAGGCTCCTCATAAAGTCACAAACATTTGTGTTGATTACAGAGTAAGGTCATTTCCAGCCAGTGTGATATGCCAAGTCTGGATTTCTAATGTAGAGGTTTTGTTTTATGCCAGTCAGAGCAGGCCTTGTGAAAAACACTGGGGGTGAACTCTGATAGATCAGGAAAAACAGGTTGTTGTTGACAAATCTGCCTACCAAAGCTTAGGAACTGCATGAACCCTTCTTCTTTGTATGAGTTAAGCCTTAAAATGCCACAGGTCAAAAAGTCGCTACACCCCCAGTGGCCCACTCTAGTTCTACAGTGTGAAACGTCTTGGCACGCCATGATCTGTCAACAGGCAGTTGTTTGGAAACCTAATGAAGTCAACAACAATCCTTGTGGTGACATTGTGACACCTATAGGAAAAAAGATCTGTTTTCCATCCATGAAGCCAGGAGAGGCTGAGGGTTATTCCAGTAATGCAGTGCAGGCAGATCCCACATTAAGGCCCAGACCTCATCCAGGGTCACAGACATTCAAACTCCCCCCCCCCCCACACACACACACACACACACACCTTAGTCTCTCAATACACTCACCAGCTCTGATGGTAAACGCATGAATCACATCCTTCCCAACTCATTACACTGTCCCACACACAGTGTTAGAACCATCTGTTGCACAAGACTTAATTAAAGCTAATTCGCATCTGGAACCACAAACTTTATTGTGCTTTCTTCAGATAGTGATGTGATAGACCAACAGCAGTTTTCCACCTCTTGTATTTTAGGCAAATGTTTCAACGTTATAGCTTTAACTGTTCTTTATGTTGCCGCATGTCTGAGGAGACTCGTGGGATTCTGTGGGCAGGACTTTTTATGTCCTTCTTAACAATGGCTGTTCTCTTGCCACTTCTTGAAAGGCTAATGATAATCCTGTTAACTCTGAAGATCCTCCAAAGTTATCTTTGATTGAAACAAAGCACTGAAAGCTAACGTCCTCTGTAGTAGAAATCAGTGGTGGGCTCTGCTAGCTAAAAAGTTATTTGCATTAACCCTAACGCACTTACCATTTACATTAGTTTTGCTAACATTGAAGCATCACACCAACATGGTATTTAGCAGAAGTTAAAATCCTAATTTCAGCCATGTTGATACTTATTGTGTATTAATGGCACAACATGTCTTACAACATTGTAAATTGACCTCAATAGGGTCACATTTGTTATTGGACAATTGCGTTTCAGGAAGTGATTAGAATATATCTTTCACTCATGGTTCCAGTTTTATGATTAGAGAGTGTTGCTAATGTTACTGCTGATTTTGCCTAATTGATTTATTGGTTTAGTCAGAAAGCATGCATGAGCATAAACATGTAACTGCTAGAAGATTTCTAAACAGTCAATGATGAAAACTTGAATGTCAAAATGTATTCAACAAAGATAAAACAGCCAAGTGATATGGTGCTTAATTCATTGAGGAGAAGCTAGGTTTGCTAAATGTTTTTTAAAGTTAGCCAAATAGCTAAAGCCCTAACTGAAAAATTAGCTCTGCTATTAGCACATTAGCATGTGCTAATAGCTATTAGCCAGGCAGACTCTGGCTAATAGCGTATTAGCTAGAGTGTGCCCACCACTGGTGAAAAAGAAAACACTTCCAGGACAGTTGATTAGGATCAACAAGTTTGTGGCCAAGAATAAAATTATTTTTCAATCACGAAGCAGGTATTCTCATCCTCTTACAAAGCAACCTGTGTTTTCTGTCATCGTCCTAGCGTGCTAGGAGCAGCTTTGTGTATAATATCATAATCATTGGTTCTCCTCAAACCATCCACTCTGCAAGCACTCAGCAGTCGCTGGATCAGTTATGTAAGGGCTATAAATTATTAAAATATTTTCCTTAATGGTGTTGGACTGATGTGTCCCTACAGTAGTTCTCTCTATACCTTCTACTCTATGTTGAGATAAAACTGCAGCACTCATTTGATTGGTGTTTGAGTTTTCAAAAGTCCTAGTTAATAAAAATGAACAAAACCATTACAGAGAAAACATACCTAAAATATATCTGTATTTGGATGAGTTTTTTCATGCCACTCACTACTACAATTATCACCTTATTCATATGTCCTGATGATTTGCATGCTTTGTGCGTGTGAATGGAGGACAAACATTCCTAAGTGAATAATGTAAATTTT